AAGCAAACCGTTTATCGCTTCTCATTCTTCAGAATACCATCGAGGAAAATATTTTTTTGTGCTCAATCGACTAAAACTGAACGATGGAAAAGAAAATAAACTCTTATCAATAATACATTTGGCCGTCAATATTTTTATGCACAAATCATATTCAGTCCTGGTTTACGCTCATATCAACTTGAAATGCCGATTCGTGTAAGATCACCAAAGTTAAGCAACGTCAAACCTGATCATTACCTAGATGGATCACCGATTGTCAATAACTGTAAGTTAGAATGTGCGTTTTGTGTAATGGATAACGAGCCGGAGTTGGAAATCAGAGAACGGAGTTCCAATTTCAGTTGGGTTCGTTATAGTCACTTACGGGAAAATATCATTGGGAAGGGGATAAATTTACCTCTTCTCTCCCTCAGATATGGGTTAATTAGTAGGACATGTATCAGTAAATCATTATTATCTCCAAATATTTTTAGGATATAAAATAGACATTCTGGCTTTAAATAATTTGCAAGTGGTTGATAATCCGTAAAGACCCTAAATCAATCAATGATTTAATAAACAGTTCTATAGATTAAATGTCTTCTGATTTCTAATCTTCACGTCATAATGGTTAAATTCACCAAGGAGCAATTAAAATAGAATACAATTTGTTTATATAGAACGTACCTACAATACAATATCATACAAAGTCAATTTATCCAGTTTCCTGGTCTCGCTGGATATTTCATATGTCTGCAGTCGCCCTCTCACAGACGTGCCGCCGCTCCCTCTGTCTTTTTTACAAATACTTTCATGGTAACTGCTCCGATGAACTGATTTCGCTGGTTCCCAGACATCATGAATTTAAGCGTTCTACTAGGCTGGCATCTCGCTCACACCATTTCACTGTCGAAACTGTTAAATGTAACCGTCTCTTCTACTCCAATAGCTTCATGTCTCGCACCTTTCGCCTGTGTAACTCCCCCCTTTCCTGTTTCCCTGATAGCTATAATCTCTAACTATTCAAATGTAATGTCAATCGACGTTTCCAGATGCCCCGATCTATCCCCTATCCTTCTCTTCATCCTTTCCTCTATCACTCCTCTTTGCTCTATATTCAACTCCCTGTAACCCCTTGCGTGCTAGTGGCTTCCCGCCTTGCTTGGGATGAAACGCTTAAAAAAAATCACCTTATCATAAAATAAAGAGTTTATAAGGAAAATTTTTTTTTTTTTTAACATTATACAGGGTGCGATGGATAAATTGTCTAAATGACGCCAAAAGGAAAATAACACTGACAGTTGATCTTAACTGACATATTTACCAAAATTTCTGGCATCCATAATGCTGTTCGGCTGTTCCTCGAAAAACACAGAAGTGTGTTGTAACTAAGGGAACCCTTCATCATAATCAATTGTTCTGTGTCTGTGTGTTGTGGGTGACTATATTGTTAAAAGATGTCGCTTTATGCGTCACGTGCAAACGTCGGTGTAGCACATGTAAAGAGTGTGATTCCTAAATTGTCGTCGAAATTACGCAAAAATAAAAATCTGACATCTCATTTTAACAGATATACAGGGTGCGATGGATAATTTGTCGTCTAAATGAGGCCAAAGTGAAGACAACACTGACATCTCATTTTAACAGATACACGGAGGTGCGATGGATAAATTGTCGCCTAAACGATGCCAAAATGAAAACAACACTGACATCTCATTTTAACAGAAAATAAATTGTCGTCTAAAATGACGCCAAATATATATATTTTAACAGATATATTTAGCAAAATTACACAAACAATATCTTCAAATACTAAAGAGTAAATTTATTCACTAAAATCGTTATTGTCTTCAGCCACGGCCTCCTGACCACTTCGGAATCTCCTGCATCTTTTTTGGACGATCTCCTCGTTTAAGTTGGTGCATGCTGCCATAATCTTTGCCTTCAGTTCATCTTTGATGTTACAAAGAGTTTTGGTGTTTTCTCGCTCAACTGCGTTCCACACACAAATATCAAGAGGGTTGCAGTCTGGGGAGTTAGGTGGCCAGATGTAGGGGGCGTTGTGGTTGCAGAAATTTTCTGAGAGCCGTAATTGTGTTCTTCTACTTGTTGTCAGGCAGCAGACACCCTCTTGATTCATGGAAACACTACCTTCTCAAAGTACATGATGTAGGCCCCTGTGTTTAGTCTGTGGCCCTCACCAACATATTCGGTAGGTATTTTCTTATCAAAACGATCAGAGTAAGTTTTTCGAGCTGCCGTAACTTCCTATTCATCCCATTCCTTCCTAATCCTCTACACTGTCCTCAGATTGATATCTAAACCCTCTGAAATGTTGGTATTGGAGCTTCCGGTGCGAATGCCAAGCAGTAGAGCATGCCGTTTTCAAATTTCTGGCAAAGTAAATTGCATCATGGTGCTATTTTCTCACAGACAGTGCCCAACAAACCCTATTATAATGTGCAGTGGACAAAATCAAAAACAAAGAACGCGCATGCGTGAAATTAAAAATATAAAATGGCAAAAATTTAACCAACGCACTCTGTATATCTTTGTGAGCGTGTGTCAATATTTCGTTTACCGGCCTGAAGATTCGAGAAATCTTATGAAAGAAAAATATGGGCTCGTCGACAGGATTCGAATTATTTTTAGTTTGTAAGAATTCAGGCCGGTAGATGAAAATAAATACTGTTTAATAAACAAACTCAAATATTGGTATCCACTAAAAACATTTAAGCAATTAAATATATCGGACTAACAAATAAAAATACACCACTTGTTTCAAATAAAAAACTACAGAATTCAATTAATGCAATAAAAACACATATATTACAAAAAAAAAAAAAAAAAGCAGATAAATAAACGGAAAATAATTACATTTACCATAGATGAGAATTCTATAAGGAAATCTATATTCAGAAATAAATTTAAAAAAAAATTAACCGTTTCTCGTTATTCTGTGAAAAGAACTCGAGCGTTGAAAAAAATATCTGTGGATCACAATTGAAAAATCAAGTAACTTAAGGACATGAAATACGCATATATGAACACCTTAACAAATGTGTACTTATATTACAAGCTAATTACATTGAAAATCAACAAGCAATCTTTTGTTTTGCTCAAAAAACGTTCCTTAGATTTGATGAAAACGGTCTCAAGGACTTTCAGATGTAAATTGGAGTACGGTAGGCCTAACACAAAAAACCACTCTGTGGAAATGTAAAAACGATTAACAACAAGATATTCAGAGATTACAGATCCGGGATCTACTGGAACGCATATGCAAAAATTAAAGTAGGCCTTTACGGATTGCATGCTGGCACATTCAGTGAAATGCTATCCTTCAATAATTAGATGGTCTTATTTATATAGTCAGCCTCACGATGACACTTAAATTAATAAATAAGAGAAATAATTAGATAGGTAGCTAGGACATTTTTAAGGATACTGTTTTAAAATTATAAACTAAAGAATCTGGAATTCTTGGAGCTTGGAATTTCGAGTGAAAGAGAGAGATAGAGAGAGAGAGAGAGAGAGTGGGAGAGAGAGAGAGAAACAAGAGAATAATGTTCTTGTGTGTGCGTAAGTGTGCCCAGGTATTTCATGTGTGTCGTGAAGGTTGTGTGTGTTTGTGTTAGTGTTTCTAATCGTGTTTGAAATCCAAATGCGTGTGTGGACGTATGTAAATATTTTTTTCTGTTGTGTTTTGTGCTTGCGTTTGATATTGCGACTGTATGTGCTTGACTATAAGTGTGTTTGTGATTTCGCACTTGTGTGCGTGTATACATGATCGTGTGTGTGTTTGTGTGACTGTGTGAGATTGAATGATTACTTAATTTTTTACGGCTTATCAACATTTTGATGGTTATTAAAAGCCAGAAAATATTATTATATTAAAGAATATTTTGAAGATAATACTGATTTACTGATACAAGTTCAACTGATTAACCCATAGCCGGGGGAGAAATGATTCACTCATACCTTTCCCGAGGCTATTTTTCGCGTAAACGAACCCAATGGGAATTTGAAAGCCGAGCCATTATCCATTATACCACCCGTACATCCAGGCTTACAGCGCCAGGCATTCCCAAGAGATCACTCATCTACGCACTGGCCAGGCTAGTCGTTTCTTAACTTCCGTCATTTTATGATAGAGACAGCAAGCTTTATATCTTTATGTATGTGCATCTGAGTGAGTCTGAGAAAACAGTTTGTTTATATGAGTTCACGTGAATATATGTGAGCGTCTGTGTGAATGTGTGCATGTGAATGCATGAAAGAGTGTATGTATGAGTCTGTGGGAATATATGCATGTGTGTGTGCGAGAAAACGTTTTGTTTCAGCCATGGCATAAATCGCTTTTTGTATTTGTTCAGATGGGGAGATGCTAAATGCATAAATGAATACAATGTATTGTCCTAGAAGCGATTCGATTGATCAGAAATGTTTTTTGTGGTAAAAAAAAAGGCCAGGAAAAGCTAATTAACAGTGGTGAACGAAAATTCAAAAAGGGAAACCGGTTTTAAGCGGAAAGTGACGGAAAGGAGCGGAAAGTGGCGGAAATAACGGCTGGTTTAAATACAGCGCCAATTCGAAAGAAAAGCAAAGCAAAACTCAACTGAGACTTGATTATCTATAATCCCCGAATGACGTTAAAAGAAGTGAATTCATATGATCTGAGGAAGGAATCGAATGGCTTTTTCTATTTATCTCATTGGTTAATGCATTCTTAAAAAATCAATGATGCATTCTTATATTAAAAATTCAATTTCTTATATTAAAAATTTACAATGATTATTTTTGCTTATATTAAAATAGAATTTACATTCAAATTAAAGACACCACAAACTTGTCCATTACACTATTAATTACATTCGTCAATTAAATAATACCTGCACACACGCATCTATCTATCGATCTATCTGTCTATATATTGCATTCTTTTCATTACAATGCATCCTTATAGTAAAATCATTGACAATGCATTCTTATATTAAAATATTACAACCCATCCATCACAGTCTTATTATCATTTATCTATCTATCTATCTATCTGCATCTATAAAATCTATCTATCTATCTATCTATCTCAGTCTGTTCATTCTTATATCTAACTATCTATTTGTTCTTATATAAAATCACGTCCGTTATAGTAAAATCTATCTATTCTTATATTAAAATCATTTACAATCTATATAGTAAAATCCAATGCATCTTATCTAAAATCAAATCTATCTGCATCTATCTATCTGCATCCTTATAGTAAAAATGCTATTAAATCATTGATAATCATCATTTAATACCTGAGTAAAAAATTTATAATTCTCTAAATTCATTTAAAATGCTTTCATTCGATTCTCTCTCACCTTCTCTATATAAAATTTGCATTCTTATATTTTTTAAAATGTGGATTCAGATTAAAAAGATGGAAACACTTATAGTAAAATATTGAGTCAAATCTTATAGTAAAATTTTACAATCGTTCTTTAGTAAAATCATTGAAAGCATTCTTATATTAAAATCATTTACAATGCAAAGTAAAATAACAACTTATATTAAAACAACATGATTCAATAAATATTAAAATCATTTACAATGGATCTGCCATTCATTTCTATAGTAAAAATTAACGGAAGAAAACAATTGAAAATAATCATTCTTATATTAAAATCATTTCAATGCATCCTTATAGTAAAATCATTGAAATGCATTCTTATAGTAAAATCCAATGACAAGTAAAATCATTGATAATGCATTCTTATATTAAAAAAAATGCATCCTTATATTAAAACATTGACAATGCATTCTTATATTGATTCAATGCATCCTTGATAAAAATTGATAGTTAAACATTTTCTCATATCATACGAGAAAACGTTTTGTTTCAGCCATGGCATAAATCATTTACAATGCATTTTTTTTCCTTCATTCTTATTTCAATGCTTATTTAAAACGCGCATTGAAAGATTTACAATGCATTCTATATTAAAATCATTTACATGCATTCAATAACGCAATGCATGAAATGCATTCTTATATTAAAATCATTTACAATGCATTCTTATAGTAAAAGCTAAATAGAAAAATATTAAATCATTTCTTGTATTATTATTTGCTTCCTAGAAGACATTGTCTGAACACATATCGATTGATTATCGTAAAGAAAATGCATTTTTGTCAGCATTCTTATAGTAAAAAACAATGCATTCTTATTACAATGGTAAAATCATTTACAATGTTAGTAAAACATTGAGTTTGTCCGTTTCCATACAGAAAATATTAAATCATTCAATTTTTATAGTAAAACAGTTAGCGTTAGTAAATCAGTTACAAAATTATAGAATATTTTATTAAAAAAGAATTTTAAAAATTACAACATTTTTTTTAAATTCATTTAAATGTTCTTATAGTAAAATATGTTCTTATTTTTTAATATTGATTAATATATTAAATCATTGATAATTCATTTTTATAGTAAAATCATTTACAATGCATTGTTATAGTAAAATCATTTATAATGGATTCTTATAGTAAAATCATTTACAAATCATTCCTGGAGTAAAATCATTTATAATTCATTCTTATAGTAAAATCATTTAAAATGCATTCTTATAGTAAAATCATTTACAATGCATTCTTATAGTAAAATCATTTACAATGCATTCTTAAAGTAAAATCATTTCCAATGCATCCTTATAGTAAAATCATTGACAATGCATTCTTATATTAAAATCATTTACAATGCATTCTTATAGTAAAATCATTTACAATGCGTTCTTATAGTAAAATCATTTACAATCTTATTTAAAATATTAAAATTCATTCAAAAATGCATTCTTATAGTAAAATCATTGACAATGCATTCTTATATTAAAATCATTTACAATGCATCCTTATAGTAAAATCATTGACAATGCATTCTTATATTAAAATCATTTACAATGCATTCTTATAGTAAAATCATTTATAATGGATTCTTATAGTAAAATCATTGACAATGCATTCTTATAGTAAAATCATTTATAATGGATTCTTATAGTAAAATCCTTTCAATGCATTCCTGAAGTAAAATCATTTACAGTGCATCTTTATTCATTTACAGCTTATTCCTCTTGTAATATTAATGGGAATTTTAACATCCGTTAATTGAATAGTTAGTGTAACTGTCTGTTCAAATTTATAACATTTTTTACTGTTTTTTAATTAGATTTCTCTAGTTCATTAACTGTTAACGCTTTTTTTTAATGTCAATTTCTATAGAAAAAAATACTAATTAAAAATATATTCTCATGGAAACGGTAAAATGTCCTTCCATACAAGCATTCATTGACATAACAATATGCTTTACTGTTGACTGAAATTCATAAAATCTTTTTCTAAAGCAGCTTTTCTCAAAATAAAACTTCTCAAAGACACTAACTAAAAGAGATTTTTTCTAATATTTGCGGCAGTTTCCTTCTAAAACTTTTGTTTTATGTTGTGTGGAAAGTTAATAGCTTGATGATATTATTTTCATTTCTAGTTATACCACTCAATCTTTTGTTGCTGCTCTTAAAAGTGTTCAAGTGTCGTTTGCTATTTAATAAAACCCTTTGTGTTTTTATCGCCTAAGTCTATAGAGACTGATGCAAGATTCATCGGCTAGAAGCCGTTTTAATCATTGATCTGATAAAACGGTTGCATAATGATTATGTTATTAAATGGGATATTGTGCATGAAGTCCATTTTGGAGAATAAATCTGACGAGGCTGTCCGGCGTTGTTCAATCCTATCCCGAGAGCAAACTATCCCGTGTTTCTCTATCCTCGAAACTAACACCTAAAATAGAGGTATTTGAAGAGTTTATGAATTTCTTATATTAATTGTCCATGAGAGATTCAGGGTAGAAATATTGCTGCTACATGTGGTCCTGTGCTTCTGCTATATATTTAAAAAATTCTTGGTAAAATCCAAAGCGACTGTTCATTCTTTCGACCTTATAGAACTGTCCAGACTTACTATCGAAACAGGAAAAAATTAAAGAAAACCTCTCTTTACTCCGCTGTAATCCGCGCGCGCACCCGTGTGTGTGTGTGTGTGTGTGTGTGTGTGTGTGTGTGTGTGTGTGTGTGTGTTTGTGTGTTTGTGTGTGTGTGTGTGTGTGTGTGTGTGTGTGTGTGTGTGTGTGTCTTCATGCGAGCTTGTGGTTGTGTGTGATGTCAACGTGGTTTGTTTGAAATTAACTAGTCAGTTTACCGGGCAACTAACTCTACAATGGAGGAAGGAGTCGTGAGACGTCTGCTATCTAAACCATCATTGTTTTGTAAGTTAGCAAAACGGAGGAGGAGGGGGGTGAGTCTTTTACAATTATACCGCTGATTGCAACATCATCTAACGGGCGTCCTGGTAAAAAAGAACTTCATAAAATGACAGTTCACTTTTTCGACTGCCAGTAAAGTAAGAAGCGAAATTGTTTAATCCATTCTTCGAACTCAATAATTGTCTAAGACTTTCTACCGGGTCCCAGTGATATAATCTAGGCGAAAAAATATGTAAAATGTGTGTGAGTTATTTTTTGAAAATGTCATGATGCCATTTTTGATTTTAGGTCTCTGGTCGGGACACCAGAAATCTAAATAATAATAATAATAATAATAATAATAATAATAATAATGTATTTGATTCAGGCCAGCAAGTCCTAAAGGTCTGAATTGAAGTTAAAGTCCATTAGGAACCTTTGATCTAGCAAAGATTGATCGTTGGTGAGCCCAATATATACTGCATACACCCTGGGAATTGCTAATGTTTTTTGTACTCAATAGTAACTGAGAAAAGTTTCCAAAGTAAACTTATTTCACAATTAAAACACTGTTTTACTTCTTTTTTTAAATCGTTCTCTTCCCTTAATTGTGATAATAATAATAATAATAATAATAATAATAAGTTCCACATTCTTGGATCCTTAAGACTTTGGAAATGTACAAAGTCTCCCCTGTGGTATTAAATTTCCTTAAGCACAGCATGGGAATGTGGAACACCAAACTATACCTTAGTCACACCGGCGGCACTGCCATATCCAACCGTCTGAGTATCCGACGTGGAATCTTTCAAGGAGATTCTTTGTCACCCCTTCTGTTTTGTTTATCCTTAATCCCTCTTACACATGAACTGAACAACAGTAGCTATGGTTACAAAATAAATAAGAAAATATTCAATCATCTACTCTACATGGATGATCTCAAACTCTTTGCCAAAGACGACAATGAGTTGAAAGGCCTCCTCAATATTGTAAAATACTTCAATGACGACATAGGTATGGACTTCGGATTAGATAAGTGTGCAAAAGTAATATTCAAGAAAGGTAGAATTACAGAAACGCCCTTAATAGATTTAGATTTTGTAACAAAGATTAGGGAACTGGAGCATGATGAAGCTTATAAGTACCTAGGAAATAGCGAGGAGATGGCATACAACAATCCAAATGAAGGAAAAAATAAGAAAAGAGTATTACAGGCGTGTACGTCTTGTACTAAATATTGAGCTAAACTCAAAAAACAGAATATCAGCCATAAACACATTGGCTGTCCCTGTGGTGCAATACAGCTTTAATGTCATTAACTGGACAATAGCTGAAAATAAGCGAATGGACGCCAAAACGAGAAAGCTTCTCACTTGCTATCGCATGCATCATCCCAAAGCTGATGTTGATCGTCTGTATGTGCCCAGATCCGAAGGAGGCAGAGGATTAGTTCAACTAGAACTGTCCTACAAAACTACAACAATTGGCCTCCAACGATATTTGGAAACTACAGAAGACTGGATGATGGTATGCGTCAAGGAACATGAAAGTAGTAAGCGTCTTTACTCCGTAATGAAAGAAGCCAACAAATTCAAAATGGAGTTTCAAATGGGCGTAGAGATGCAACTACAGCACAATACACCGGCTGAAACTGCAAAATACCTAAAAAAGACAGCAAAGACAAATGCAACCGACCAGATACAGAAGCGATGACAAGATAAACCGCTTCATGGCCAATACTCTGCCCGTACCAAACAAGCTGACGTAGACAAAACCCTTACCCATCAGTGGCTGCGTAGTGCAGGGTTGAAAGCGGAAACTGAAGGTTTTATCCTTGCTGCACAGGACCAATGCTTGCTAACTAGGAATTATCAAGCACATATACTAAAATATTGTCAGCCCAAAAGTCAGATTCTGTGATAAATATCCAGAAACGATTGATCATCTTGTATCAGGTTGCACGATGTTGGTACCCACTAAATATA